TTTAGGAACAAGGGTACGCTTGAGGATGATCCAACTCTCTACAATATTTTTACCTTGCCTAAATGGCAAATCAGATATTGATACAAAGCATTTCTACTTAATAAGATATTTTTTTATAAAAATAAAAAGTCTTAACTGATTATATTATATTTACCTTGGTAAGTTGGGATGCTTTGCCGGTGTAGGAATCAGAGCTGAAAGAAAATGACTGAATTCGCCTCTATTTGGAACTCGGATTCCTCTCAACCAATCGTAAGATTAATGTATGTATGTTTTTTAATTAGCAATGGCATATCATTCGTGCGTGGGATTTCTTACAGGATGTTGCAGCCTGAGCTGTCCGATTTTAAGATTTACAGGATGGTTGAAAATGTGCAGCTGCCGAATGAGAGACTTTCTAACATTAAATACGTTCAAGACTTGGGAGAGGGTCATGAGGTTTGTAAGCGCCGAGCTATCATTAGAAGAACTGTGGACTTGACAACGGAACGCATGAGTCTCGTTGGCGATTACTGTCTGGAAAGCGAGATCGACTCTGAGCATGAAACTTCTAATACAAGTAAGTAGTAGGTCAAGATCGATCTGAAATTTGTGGATATCAAATAACATTATATATAAAACCAAACACTCTCTCTCTCAAACAGAAACAGAGGACGGGCCAGTCAAAGGAGCTCAAACAAATTAAGTCTTCTAGTGATCAACAAGAGATGGACGCTTCACCAATCAAGCCCATACCTCTGCATCAACGGTCAATTGAGTATCGCACGACGAGTACAGCTCACCAAATCCAGCGCAATAACAGATTTGGTGCCCTCAATAGCTCAAGAACCACAACACAGAGCATATGTATGTATATGATTATTGATTACAATAAAATTAAGCCAAGGGTGGCTAATACAAATATCACTAACGAAAGAGAAGAGAATTAATGTGCTTCTAGTATTTTAATTAATCATGCATAAACAGTCCCAAGTCAATTTGCAATTGAGTAAGGTTTGAAATGATAATATATTCCAATCTAAACTTTATAGATGTATAAATGCATAAATAGATTACTTTTATACTTTTTTTTTGTAGAAGAAATATGTATGTATAATCAGTGCCACATAACTATTCCCCAAGTTTGCCACTGCCGGTGGAACATCTCACGGTGGAATTTCTTGTGTAATCATCGCAAGCAACCACAAAAATAAATAAGTCATGAAACAAACAGATATGAGAAACCTTAAATAGAGAATAATATTTTCATTACTCTGTTTCTGACAAAAAAAATGCATGTACACTACGCTAACTTTGTTGCAAAACTCTCACGGTTTATCAAACAAACAAAAAAATATATATATTCTTATTCGTCCTCATAAGAGATCGTGCAGGTCACGCAACTGTGCCATTCCAAGACGGAGAGACTCCAAGATGCGCTCAAACACAAGGACGTGGCATGGGATTCGAAGCACTCCTTGCTGCTCGTATCCGTACTCCTGAGCCGACCGTTTCAGCAACGCTACGAAAACCGGATGGTTAAGCAGCTCCGCGCTCACCACGAACCGCTCCATCTCTTGTCCAACGTACACAGGCACGTGTCCCTCGGGAACCCTAGACTTTGTCTTCTCCTTCTTGGACCGGCGGCTCTGCGACTCAGACCGGAGGAGGCTGTATTGTGATGAGTCCGCAACTCGCGATAGACGCCGGATTAGCTGTTTCATCTTTGAGACTCGAGAGAGATAAGAGAGGTTATATATTTCCAAAGACCCTAAAGAGCAGAGCAGAGAAGAGTGAATGATTATGAGAGAGAGAAGTGGTCTTTATAAAGACGCTAGGTTAATAATATTGGAAAGGAGTACTTGCTTGGTTATTTTTTTGTCTTTATATATATAAAGTAAATTAAATTAGACAACAAATAAGTACGATTTAAAACGAAATAGGTTTATTATTTCATGTTTGTCGTGGAAATGAGTTCGTAGCTCTCGGATTTAATCAATTTAGGAAAACAAATGGTTGTCAAGTTTTACGTGGTGACTAGGGAATTTGTGAAAGAGATGTTGTGTGGAATTGTATATGGTATATATATCATTCAAATATTTTAATAGCTAAATCTAAAAAAAAATACCTACACATTTTTTCTCAAACTAATTGGAACTTGGATCCAATAAAACAAATTGAAAGATCTAATTAAAGAGTTTCCAAATCTTATCTATTTGAGATTGCGATGAGATACGAAAATCTCTAAAATTGTAATTATTCACGATTTTTTCTTAATGTTGGAACTTTGAGTGCATATTTTTCTATACGTAATAGAAACAACAGAAAATTAAGGCGTAAATGGCGGGGGAGACGTGACGTAATTGGAGGTATGCATCCGTGACTCCGAATGTCTATTGTCAAA